AACAAATGCACATACATATTTGTGACATGATGTACCTTGTGTGTGTGAAGTTTGAACTCGATCAATCCAAGCATGTCTCAGATACGGATCCAGAACTGAATTCTTTAAAACAAAATGGCCGCCAGTCGGCCATTTCGAACCCGATCCAAAAAAAAAAAATGACGTGCATCAAGGTCCTATTATGTTTAATGTATGTACCAAATTTGAACAAAATCCGTCCATGCATAACTGAGATCCGGGTCCGGAATGGTGAAAATGTGCAATTTTGATGCATTTTCGGCCTTAAAATGGCCGCTATTCGGCTATCGTTAATCAGATCATGAAAAAATTGCATGTGCATATGTCCCATATAATGTGTGATGTATGAGTGAAGTTTGAACTTAATCGGTCCATGCATGTTCGAGATACAGGTGATCACGTACGCACGGACGGACGGACGCACACAGGGCAAAACATAAGTCCCCGTTTTCGGACTGCGTCCGAACGGGGACTAAAAAACAGGAGCAACAGAGACGTTCATGAAATGGTCTCCAAACTACTTTTCACAGAAAACACAGGTCATTCATGATGATTTTTGTGGCATTTGTGGTTCTCACCAAATTTGTTTTGTCACATATAGTGACAAATTCAGTGGATATTTTTACATGTATGGTTGTTGCAAATTATTCGGTAACACTGACGAATACCATTAATTTTTTATAAAATAAAATAAGAATTTTTATTGATTTTTTTTTGGTACAGCTTCAGGACGTTTTTCTCGAAAAGTAGATGACACATGTCCAAATTCATAATTTACATAATTTTGTTTGGAAACAATTGATTTTAATGCATGAATAAATTTAAAATGAAGGGGTTGTAACCTGCGCATTGGTGAGAGAATTCAGTTCTAAGCGTCGATAACAACGCATACTAAAAATGACTCATGGGCATATTCTTGTTTGTAAACAGTGATAGACTATGGTCGGTGAACAACTCCCTCGTTTTAAATTGTTACAAAGAGTATAAAGACAGTATGTATAATAAATATGTCTAATACTATGCAAATACTATTCTATAATACTCACCCCATGGTTTCCCTTGAACCTGATACTGGGCTTTTTAAAAGTAGTGTCCTGAAAGATATAAAAACAGTAATGTTGGTATACACATTAAAGAATCAATTAACAATCAAAGAAAGCTTAGAAAGAACTCCCGTGTGCTGATAGTATTGGGAACACACTAAAAATTAATTCAAAATTACTTGTACTAGAGATATTGATGGAAACGCAGAAAACTAATTATGCAAATAAGGTAACTAATATGAACAGATTTAAGTGTAAAACTAATAAGGTCTGCACAATGTACCAAGTTTCATTGAAATGTGATTAGAACCAAAAAAATATTAATTATTATTCTAATAAGGTAACTAATATGAACAGATTTTAACCCAAAATTAATCAGACTGTCTATTATCCTAGAGCATTTATGGACCAAGTTTTATTCAAATGTGATGATCAATACTTGAGATATCAGTATTAATTAATTATGTTAATTAGGTGATTAAGAAGCATAAATATTTACCAAAAACTAATATGGTGTATAGTCCTAGGTTCATTGAAATGTGATGGGTACTCTTTAAAAGTTTCATTGAAATCCAATGAGTGGTTTTTAGACATCAGTGCAACAGCCATAGAACAGCAACAAATTAACTAATAATGCAAATTAGGTGATTAATATGCACAAATATTTACCCCCAAACTAATTAGATCTCTGCACAGTCCTCAAGTAACTATGTACCAAGTTTCATTGAAACGTGATCATTACTACCGGTACTCGAAATATCAAAAGCTGAAAATTAATTAATTATGCAAATTAGGTAATTAATAGGCACAATTTTTTTATCCCAAAATTAATCAGGTCTCTGCATTGTCCTAGAACATCTATGTCGCAAGTCTCATTGAAATGTGATGATTAGTACTTGAGATATCAGGTGAAAAGCTGAAAATTAACTAATTATGCTAATAAGGTGATTAATATGCACAAATATTTCCCAAAAAAACTAATTAGGTCTTTGCACAGTTCTCAAGTAACTATGTCCCAAG